AACAGCAAGTTTATGTGATCTTAAATCAAGGCTTGATTCAAGAACTTGTGTGGCACCAGATGTCTTTGCTGAAAACATGAAGCTCAGAGAGGACATCCATCATTTGGTCAACTATATTCCCCAGGGTTCAATAGATTTCACTCTTTGAAGGAACGTGGTACTTAGTTAGGGTGGATGAAAAGCACAGAAGAACTTACACTCGGCGTCCCACTCCAAATGACGACACTTTGGATGAAGGAGTAGGACTTGTGCATTCAAACACAGCAACTGAGCATATTCCAAGCCCTCCCAAGAAAGTGCCAAGACTCCCTGCCACAGCAGCAGAACCTGAAGCAGCTGTCATTAGTAACGGGGAACATTAAGATATTCTGTGAGGTGCAAGACTTCAGGGTGGGGGTGGGGATGGGGTGGGAGTATGGGAACGGTTAGAGGAATGGAATATCTGGGCATAATTTTAAAGGATTACATGTTATGTAAATTTTTATGTGACTGACATGGAGCCTGGATGACTATCGTGTACTTTGGAAAGTCTCTTTGCTCAGTTTGCAGACATGCTTCCTGTTGTGGTCTGGCCAATGCCAAATGTACTCAAATGATGTTAAGGGCTCTGTAAAACTTCATACCTCTCTGGCCATTCATATGAATGATGTTTGATTTTTAAACATGGTATAATGAATCGTGTACTTCTGTCAGAAGAAAGCAGAGGCACTAATCTCCAATTAAAAATTTTTTAACATGTAAAAAAAACACATTTAAAAAATGCAGACATTTTTAAAGTCTAAAGTTCTCCACTTTAGACTTTATACAAAAGCTTTTTTTTTCTTTTCCCTAAAATTTTTTTTTTTTTAACTAAACGTTTAAAATATATTTCTAAACAGAATGGGCCAACTCAGTAACAGTAACTGCTGATCTCCATAGTAGAGTAACCCACAAAGACAGAACTGATTTTTTTTTCCCATAATTGGGTGAAAAATATACAACTTGCTTCTGAACCAAAACCACAATTTCTGCAGTTTAAAATGTTTCACTGCTAATATGGCCCTGGTAGAAATTATGTAGTTTTTTTTCTTTTAAAAAAAATTTTTAAAAATTTCCTAAGACACTAAATGATCAATCTGGAATGTAGATTCTGAGCACAAAGCAGCTCAGTTAACCTAAAAAATAAAGAAAAAATTCCCATCGCCTGTCTCAGTAGGGCCTGAAAGGAGAGAAGTAGTGTAGGGAACCCTTGCTTTGGTACGGAGAGTCACGACCCCTTGACCCAGACCAAGACCATGAGTAGCCATAGCTGGTGCTTCTCTCAGGATAAACTCGGATGTAGGAAGTTTCACCCTGATGAGAGCGGAGTTTGGTGTCATTCAGTTTACACAGGGCATATTCCATGTCTTCTTTTCTGAGATACTCAACCATCCCCACTCCATCCTTCTGCACATCGGCATAACAGACATCCCCAGCTTCTCGCATGTGATCCTTCAGGTCCTGCCAGCTGCCTGATGGAGGAAGTCCTGAAACAAGAACTCGGAAATCAGATCTTCTTGTAGGAGGCCCATTCCTCCCACCATGGGGCCACCCACCCCGACCCCCATAAGTCCTGGGGAACTCCACATGAAGCCGACACTGGCCATAATCATAACCATTCCTTCCATAAATTGCATCCTCTGCATCTCAGGGGTCCTCGAGCAGCTGTTTTCTTTGTACATGTTAATTCCTTCTCCACGTATCACAGACCAAGATCATCACCTCAGGTAACCATGCTTCTGCCAGTGGAAGCCATGAGGAGACACTATCAAGACCTGATTTTTGTGTGCTGTCAAAGTAAACCACAAATGCTTGGACAGATTCTGCAATCTCTGCAGTAACAAGAAATTTGTTTGGTACCACACATAGATTGATGTGGCTGAACCACACAGTACACAGTATAAGTAGTAATGACTTATACTGTGCTTCCGCTGGAGCCTTCTTGGGAGGTGGGATTAGGAGGCCAGAAGGAGATCCCTTCCAGGGTGCTAGGCCGAGATGGATCTGCTCAGGGCCCAACAGCTGGCTGCAGAGCTGGAGGTGGAGATGATGGGTGATATGTGCAACAGAATGACCAGTGCCTGCCACCAGAAGTGTGTGCCTCCTCACTACAAGGAAGCAGAGCTGTCCAAGGGCGAATCTGTGTTCCTGGACCAATGTGTGTCTAAGTACCTGGACATTCATGAGCGGATGGGCAAAAAGTTGACAGAGTTGTCTATGCATGATGAAGAGCTGATAAAGAGGGTGCAGCAGAGCTCTGGGCCCTCGTGAGGTCTCAGTCAGTATACACCCTGGGCTACATCCCACCCCTCCCCACTTGAATAAAAGTGCCCCCTGTTGGGTGTCATCTGTGAAGACTGCCAGGCCTAAGCTCTCGGTAGAGAGTCTTCAAGATCCCAGAGTGGTAGTGCTTTCTCCTGGTGGTGAAGTATTTGTCACACTGGAATGTGACTGCGTGTGTATGTATGTATGTGTGTGTGTGTGTGTGTGTGTGTGCATATATATATATATATATATATATATATAAAAAACAACTTTGTTGACACCTACAAAAAAAATAAAATCATCAAAAACAACTCTTAGTTTTGATGATTTCTAGTTTTTTATTGTCTATTTATTCCTACTCATATTTATTATTTCCTTCTTTCTGCAAACTATAGGATTATTCTTTTTGTAGTTCCTTGAGGTATAAAGTTAAGCTTTTTTTATTTCAGTTATTTCTTCATTTAATGTGAGTATTTATTGTTCTAAGTTTTCCTCTTAGTACTGCTTTTGCTGCATCCCAGAAGTTTTGGTAAAATGTGTATATAAGTTGGTTGGTTTGTGAGCACTGAGAAAATTATGTAAAGATAGACACTAAGTCATTAATCTTGGCTGTTAATCTTGACAGTTCGAACTAGAGGCAGCAGTGTTGGGAAGCAGTCTATTAACTTTTCATCATGCATCTCTGAATGTTTGGCTTATTAAAAACAGCACTGTTATCTTCATATTTTTAAAAATGTAATTCCTAATGAAATTACACAAAATTAAATGGATGAAGGGCTATCTTTCTTAACTTCCAAACTCTACATACAAATGAGAAGATTAAAGCTATTTTGGACACTTTATGTAGAGTAGGTTCACATAGATCAAAAATATGTTACCCCAGAAGACTATTGAGAAACAATTTTCAGCCAACATTCACCAAATATCTTTAAAAGCAAGAATGGAATGAAAATCAGGAAATCAAAGATGAGTTACTTATTTCAAAATGCCCAATTATCGCAGACTTGGTGTGTTCTAACAAATCAACTCTTCCTCTGTTGTACTGTAGGCTCCATTATGGCTGGATTGTCTATTTGGCTACTGCAATGCAAAACTTAGTGCCTGATATATAGAAAACAGTTAATAAATTCTTAGTAAATGAGCTAATTAATAAATATTCATTTTAAGATTGGTGTTTAACTGCCCATTTAAAAAATAGCAGTTAAAGAGTTGATTATTTCATTAATTTCTCTGTTCTGGGATATCTTATAGTTTATTCCAGTTTACAGAACATCTTATCATTACCTCTGCTCAGCCTGTGATCATGTAGCACTATTATTAATTTTTAGTACATCTGTCTCCCCAGTAGGACTGTGAGTCACTCAGGGACAAAATCTGATTTCTATTCTTTTTTTCTTTATCCCGTAGAGCAACAAATTCAGTATATTCTATTTCAGTAAATACAGTAATTTAAATTTTTTTTTAGATTATTCTTTCTAATAGCATGACTCCGACAATAATTTTACTTCACAAAAACTTAGTTCATTGATTCTACTGTTCACTATTCCTTTGATATTACTTTGATCCCATACCCATCTTGTTATAATCACTTCAGTTATTCTTTTGCCTACACCTTCAACTTAATTTATCCTGCTTCTCTTTGAAATTCACACATACTCTCTCTACATTTTCCCTATGGGATCCTTTTAATTCATAAGACCTTAAATTCCATATGTGTGCTGATGACTTGAATATTCATATATCTTGTCTGAATTTTTCTCTGAAATTCAAACTCATATCTAACTGCTCACACTCCATCTCCACTTGATGGCCATGGTCATCTCAAACATAGTTTGTCCAATACTAAAATTATTCTTTATCTTCACTCCACATCTTCTACTCTTAACAGTGTTCCCCATCTTAGTAAACAGCAATTCCGTCCTTCCAGTTACTCAGTTGAATCACGACTTCTTTCTTTCTCTCACGCCTAATTCTAATTCATTGGCCAGTGTGGTTGGAGCTAAAGGCAAAACATATCCATTATCCAAATTCTTCTCCTTATTTATATTCTACAATCTTGATCCATGCCACCATTGCCTCTCACTAACTACATGTAAGCTCCCCCTTTTGCTACATCCTGCCTTCCTCCACTGCAATTCTCAATATTGCATTGGAGCAATTCTGTTGAAACTCAAGTTAAATCATGCCACACCTCTTCTCAAACCCTACAGTAGCCTGCCATCTCATGTGGTTAATATGGCTACTTGATATCTCTTTGACCTTACTTCATACTTACACTTCTTTCTTCCCTTGCTTACTCAAATCCAACCATGTTTGGGCGGATTCCACTTGCATAGAGGGAGTGAAAGTTCAGCTTAAATGAATCAATGCTGATTTATGTGAGGAGATAAATCAGTCTTCAACATAATTGAAGCTGTGCTGGATTTTATTTGAAGACGACTTATACCAGCAAGACTTATAGCAGTCATCTCAGAAACTTTCTCTCAGGGGCCACAAAGGTCTTTGACAATGAAAATTATGTTTCTTAATCTAAGGGTATGACAGAATAAATCCAGGAGGCTTGCATGTGTATCTTTCACTGATTTTTTTGTGTGAAACATTTTTATTAAGAAAGTAATTATATTTTCTGGAATATAGTTATAGCCACTGGAAGTTGATTAATTGAAATCTGGAATAGGTATAATCTTTGAATGTTAATTTTTGAATTTTTTGTTTAGGCCAACATTTTCAGTCACAACAGAATTCATCTTGAGATTCAATCAAACACAAAATTCCAAAGAGAAGAAAGAATTGTTGGAACTAGCTAGAAAAATCATTATCAGATGTAAGGTAATGGCACATCATTTGATTATTCAGCATGTTAACTTCATTTTCTAGTTGGTACCTGATTACATATTCTAAAATATTGTAAGAAAAAATAAGAATACGTCCTTCTTTAATTATAAGTAGGGATAGGTAAAATTTTAATGCAAATTAAACTTAAAGCTTATAACCAAATAATAAAAGCTTTCTGTAAATTTTGTGGGAATATAATTTTTGATACCCATCCAGGAGCCCATAGCTAAACGTTAAGTCTGGCAAATAAATTTTTGATTATGAAGATTCTATTTTTTTCTTTAAAAAGTTAATTGAGATATTCTGTGTCCTAAAGGGGAAAAAGGCCTTTCTAAACAATTATATACATGAACAAAGTATTCTTTTCTTTCTTTGTCACAAACTATTCTTCACTTAACTTGTGAAAAATATGTTCTTTAAGAGTATAACATTAATCCCCAAATTTATAAATAGATATCAAAACAGAACAGGAAGTAAAGTAAGTCCTTGCTTTGCCTTGTCTACATTGGATTCAATTTAAGTTTTACAGAGAAGTAACATGCATATTTTGCTTTGATATGAATAATTCATTAAATAAAAGCTGCACAAAACTGGTGCATAAATTAAGCCACCTTTTTTTGTTGTTGTTATAGTGGTTATTTTCCAGTTCATGGCTGCCCATATTGAAAAACATTTGATTATTAAAAGACTATACTTTTGATAAGTGTGTTTGCAGACAGGTGCCAGGAAGTGCATTCATCAATGAGCTTTTCTCCAATTGACCAAGTGGTCCCTGCAACAGTCCCAGGAGTGGGCACAATAAGGGAAGTGGAGTAATCCTGATCATCTTCCTTATGTTCATTAACTTCTGTACATCAACAATGAAGTATCTATGATTTTCCAGCAAACTAACATCAAACCCACTTCTGTTTAATCACATTTCTTCAGTGCTTCGCCTTATAAAATTAAAAAATATGCATTCCCTTGGGGGGAAAAAGGAAGTAATCACCAGAAAGTAAAAAATGAGAATTATTTTCAGCAAATAGCTAATGACATTAGTCATAATATCAACATTTTCCACATCTTAACACTAATACAGTTTGCATAAAATCTCTAAAAATCTGAGTAATAAAAGCAAAAATATAAAATTGCATACAACTCTGGCCACCAAACATTAGCTTCATAGAATGACTTTTGGAACACAATTAAGAGGTAAAAATAAATAAATAAATAAAAATATGTACATTTTAATTTGTCTTTTTCATGCTTCCTCATAACAGAGAAAATTGGGTCTCAAAACCTTGGGCTCTGGGAAGCATGTGCATCTTCCTGCTGCATGGACTGAAGTAATATATCTGGCTCAATGCAAAGGGGAAATCCAAGATGGTATGTACTTTAAATTCCTATTAGGTATCCTAAGTATTTTCTAGAGTATCAGTTAAGGCAAAATTTGAGAACTTTAATTTTTAGAAATTGTACAGAAGACAAGTTTTCCACTCTCTATTGAAATACATTTTATTATGAAAATTCATTTTATAATATTGAATTTATGAATTTACTTAGCTTTTTAGTTACAAAATTGTTTTAAAAACTATTACTCAGCATAGCTTTTATTACTTTTTTGCCAAAATTAGCAACTAATTAAAAAGTAATATAAAATGTCATTTAATGAATTCCAATTACAATAGGCACTAGACTTTAGAAAAATTTGTTTCTGCATTTTATAATTCTTCCTAATAAAACATTAATCAAATGACCATTTGTTTTCCACTTATTTTAAATAGCAAGCTTTACTCATTACCTTTTAATTTCTCACTCCTCATTTATGCCTCCTTTTAAACATCCTCTAACTGATCTAAAAAGAAAATTAAACATTATTTTTAAGGGAGTAAAATTCCTTGTACCACTACCATTAAGTTGTATATATATGCCTTTTAAAATACTTTTAGAATGTTAACCACATGAAGTCAGAGAGAATTTCCCCATGTAAATTAGGTTTGTGGTGCTGTCTAGGAGTTTTCAAGCAATAGGAAGAGTAAGAAGTATTTGTATTTAACTTGCCTTTATGGTCCTTCATCACAGTGTGCCATCCACAGACTGACCTCTATTAAGAATTTAAATGATATTGAGGTAAACAGTCTTGGTTTACCAGCAAGAAGAGGCTGTTTGCTCTTCATTAACAATTAAGTTTCAGTTTTATTTAGACATCCTGCAGTCATGTGATTTAGGAGGACTGGCTCTTGCCCAATCTGAGGTGGGTGAACCATGGATGGTCTAAATCAGGGGTCCCAAAACCCTGGACCACAAACTGGTACCAGTCTGTGACCTGTTAGGAAATGGGCTGTGAGTAACCAGGGAGTGAGCATTACTGCCTAAGCTCCACCTCCTGTCGGATCAGCAGTGGCACTGGATTCTCCTATATAGGAGTGTGAAGCCTCTGGTGAACTGTACATGTGAGGGATCTAGACTGCGTGATCCTTATGAGATAAAACCAGTCCCTGTTGCCAAAAAGGTTGGGGACTGCTGGTATAAATCAATTATGGCAATTCCTTTTCACTTGCCAGTGATTTGATAGGGGTAGCCACATGACCTGGTCCTGAGCAAAGAGATATAAAGACAGCTCTATTTGCTGTACTTTTTGTTGACTTGCTTTTGAAAAAGACATGCCTGGGAAAAAAGCATTCCTTTCCTCCCTATACGCTTGTTTGTTCCTGTCTAGTTTGCTTGGTAAGAACATGATGCCTGGAGCTTGTGCAGTCATCACAGTCCTCATGCACATCAGGGGGAACTAGAAGATGAAAGAAATGTGGATATAGAGGGCAGCTATATTAGCTGTCCCTGGAACCTTTCCAATTCGAATCTTGTGAAATAGTAAACCTCCTTATCTTAAAGACATTTTTGTAGAGTTTTCTATTACATACAGCAAAAGCATTTTCACATATTGAACTCTAAATAATACTCAATATGACTTCTTTTTACTCTCTTCACAGCTAAAATAACTGAATGGGTGTTTTACCTGTATTCTTTTCTGCTCCTTATTCTATAGTCCACCCTCCACTCAAACAGCTTTGTTTACACTCAAATGAGCCTCAATTCCATATCATGGCCTACAAGGCTCTGCATGAACTGGCTCCTAAATACCCCCCTACTCGCTCATTATGTTCAGCTATACTGACCTCCTACTTGTCCCTTGAGGATGTCAGGGTTCTTTCCTCACGTCCTGTGCTTGCTGTTCGTTCTCATATATTTACATGGAAGCTCCTCAGAACTTTTGTAGTGACATGAGAAGCTTATTTCTCTAGGCTCTTAGCTCTATATTCTTCTTCCTTCGGCTCCACAGGGAAGCCTTATTTCCTCTACCTTGATTCTCTAGTCTTCTGCTATTCCCTTTTTATCTTTAGCACTGCCTTTTGTCATCCAGTTCTGTCCTATTTCTTCACCATGATGTATGTGGCCTGGTGATTTATTTGGTGTTGGGCCTGTATAGTGTTGGATCTATAGTAGCTGAGCCCCCTTGCACGTTTCTTCCTTCCTCTAGCCTCATGACCTTGGTGGCTTCTGTTTCAGTTGCTTCATGCCATGAAGTTGAACTTCCTACGGGGCAGCTTAGGGTTCCAAAGCTAGTATCTTGAGAGGGAGGCGGGGGGGGAGAGAGAGAGAGAGAGAGAAAGAGAGAGAGAGAGAGAGAGAGAGAGAGAGAGAGAGAGAGGGAGGGAGGGAGGGAGAGGGAGAGGTCCAGGTGGAAACAGTGCTGCCTTTTCTGATTTAGTCTTAGAAGTCCCACAGGGTCATTTCTGCCTCATTCTATTGGTTGAAGCTGTCACAGGACCTACTCAAGTTTAAGAAGAGCATATGGGTATCACCTCTTGTTGAGAAAGGTGTCAAGAATTTGTAAACTGTAATTTCCTTTGCAAAGCTAGTATCTTGAGGAAATAATTGCAAACATTAATTAAAGCATGTAGAAAAACAGGATGATTTTTAAATGCTACAGTTTCTACTTTTTTAATATTTCAGAAGCTTTAAATATGCTTTATGCTTCCCTGGACCATGCTCCCTTTGATTATGATCATCTGCCTGCCCTATTTTTTGTTGCGGAATCGGTTTTATACAGACTCTGTTGTGATGCATCCCTCCAGACATATTTATATTCAGTTGAACTAAAGCTAGCAAAGGTATGTTTTGAAAAACTTCTTAATGTTTTTAAATATTACATATAGTACATGTAACAAAATGACATCTGTTTCAGGATCAAAACAGAACATTTAGTTTTATTATAGAATATTCTTTTGTTTGATAGTTTAATCTTCTCTAATTGTGAGTAGTACATTATTAGTGTTGAATATCCAAATGGAGATAGTTTGAGAAAATATAATTTCACAAACTACATAAGAAAATAACATTTCATTAAAATCAACATACTTAACTGTTTTTCTAAGTATATATAGTTTTTCTTTTCTATTTCAAGGATATTTAAATGCCACCTCCTTTGCCATTTAAAAATGCTGACAAATAACCTTAAATAACTGCCCAATTTGGGAAGCTTAATTGTTTTTCTAATATTCTATGTCACTTTAGACCTATAAAATGAGAAACTCTTTTCAAGTAACTTGTATTTTACCAGGTTTTTGAGATCATATGGTTTCATTCTCAGTGATGATTATGGTTGACTGCTGCAAAATACATTATTGGACAAATAAATTTAGTTTAATAGTTTTACTGCAAAGAAAGAAAAGACAGGCTAACAGTATTTCTTTAAGATGGTTCTATATATATATACATATATATATACACACACATATATAAATGAATGAAACAAATGAAATTGATTATGCAGAAATGTTTTTAAATTAAATTTTGGTTATTAACTGTTGGAAATCAAGCATGAGAGAACATTTTGGGGAGACAATCACATTTCAGTCATTATAAATCAAACCTAGATGTTCTCTGACACGTTTGGGAATAAAAGACTTGTGGAGGCCAGGCAAAAGCAGATACAGAGGACACATAGTAGAAATTGATCATGCAAAAAACTGAGCTTTGTAGAGAATAGTCAAGATATTACCAATAACTCTCTTGGGATGGTGAGATTATGATAATTTTTTTCTTTTTTTCTGTATTTCCAAAACTATCCACTAAAAATGTGTATTTATATTTATAATAAAAACAACATGTAAGTAAAAATAAAATATATAAAATATAAAAATTTAAATATACATATTTATAATGAAAAAAGCAATGTAATAAAAGTTTTGAAATGGAATAGAAAAACCCAGAGCAAGTCTGGGTTTTATTACCTTTCTTTCTCATCTCCTTTACTGACCTTTCTCCATTTCTTGTCTTCTGTACTTCTGTATATCTGCTAGCAAGAAAAATAGCTATAAAATATAGTTTTATCCATTGAGCATATTGCTTATACTTTGCACATGCCCTGTCATTTTATTGTTAAAAGATTTCTGTATTTTCTTATCTACAAAGCCAGACAATTTGTACCAGTTCTTATAACAGCTGCAGACACTTACATATCACTTAACTATGTGTCTTACACAAAGGTAAATGCTTTAAATGTATTAGACACATTAACTTTTTTTGAGGATTATTCATGATTTCACATATTCCACATCTGTCACTGTAGCATAGAGAGTTTTTTTTTTTTTTTTGGATTTCCTTGCATTGGGCTTTGCCTTTCTCTGGTGCCTAGCATAGAGAGTTTTAAGTGACTTCCCAAAAGTCTTAGCAGAGGGAGTTTTGAAATGCTTTGTGGCTCCAGAGTCCAGTGCACTCTCAGCTATGATGCTACACATCTACCTTGGTTCTCAGATTTACTAATTTTTACTTAATTTTTTTATTGATACATATGTAATATTTTAAATATTTATGACTAGTATGTAAATTTAGAGTATACATCACCTTGAGTATTTATTGTTTCTATGTATTTGTCATTTCAACTCTTATCCTCTAGTTTACTTAGAAATATACAAAGCATTGTTGGTAAGTATAGTCACCCTATTCTGCTATCAAACATTGTATTTAATATTATATTTGTACCCATTAACCAACTTCTCTTCCCCTCCCACTCACCCACCCTTTTCAGTCTCCGATGTCTATAATATTATTCTATTCTCTTTGCCCATGAAATCAAATCTTTTAACTTCCACATATGAGTGAGAACATGTGGTATTTTTATGTCTGTGCCTAGCTTATTTCACTTAACATAATGACTCCCAGTTCCATCCATATTGCTGCAAATAACATTTCATTATTTTTGTGACAATATTGTATTGTGCATATACATCACATTTTCTTTATCTAATCCACCCATTGATGGACACTTACATTAATTCCATGTCTTTAAACTTGTGAAGTGTGCTCCAGTAAACCTCAGAGTGCAGGTATTGCTATAATACACTGATTTGCTTTATCTTCCTAAGAGATAAATGCCTACTAGTGAAATTGCTGGATAATATGGTAGTTGTATTTTTAGTTTATTAGGCAATCTAAATACTGTTTTCCATAGTGGCTGTACTAATTTACATTCCAGCCTATAGCATATGAGTCCTCTTTTCTCTGCATCCTTGCCAGCATTTTTTTTTCTTTTTAATAATAGCTATTCTAACTGGAGTGAAATAATTCTTCATTGTGGTTTTGACTTGCATTTTCCTTATGATTAGTGATTTGAACATTTTTCACCTATCTATTGGCCTTTTGTATGTCTTATTTTAATAATATCTATTTATGTCTTTTGCCTATTTTTAATAATATTATTTGGTTTTGCGCTTTTTGTTTCATTGGATTTTTTTTCTTTTTACTGTTGAGTTCCTTGTATATTAAATGTATTAGTCACTGTTTGAAAATATTTTCTTCAATTCTACAGGTTGTCTCTTCACTCTGTTTATTGTTTACTGTGAAGAGCTTTTTTGTTTAATATAGTCTCATTTGCTTATTTTTGTTTTTGTTGCCTGTGATTTTGAGGTCTTAGTCATATAATCTTTGCCCAAGATTTTTGTCCTGAAGGTGTCTTCCTATGTCTTCTAGCAGTTTTATAGTTTCAGGTCTTATGTTTATGACTTTAATTCATTTTGAGTTGAATTTTGAAATGGTGAGAGATTTGCAGTTTCATTCTTCTGCATATGGATATCTTATTTTCCAAGCATCATTTATGAAAAGGGTGCTTTTTACCCAATGTTTGGTTTTGGTGGCTTTGTTGAAGATTGGTTAGCTATAAATATGTGAATTTATTTCTGGGTTCTCTATTCTGTTCCACTATTTGCTTTGTCTATTTTTATAACAATATCATGATTTTTTAGTTACCATAGTCTTATGTTTTGAAGTCCAGTAGTGTAATGCCTCCAGCTTTGCTCTTTTTGCTCAGGATTACTTGGGTTATTTTGCCTCTTCTTTGGTTTCATAAAAATTTTAGAATTGTTTTTCTATTTCTGTAAAAAATGTCCTTGGTATTTTGATAGGAATTGCATTAAATCTGTATTTTGCTTCGAGCAGTGTTTTCAGCAATATTAATTCTTCTGATCCATGAGTATAGAATGTCTTTGTATTTGTTTACATATTCTTCAATTTCTTTTAACAGTGTTTTGTAGTTTTCTTTGTAGAAATCTGTCACCGTCTTTGTTAAATTTATTCCTAGAGTTTTTTTTCTATTATAAATGCAATAAATGAGATTGCCTTCTTGATTTCTTTTTCTTCTATTTTATTATTGGTGTATAGAAATGCTATTAATTTTTATATGTTGATTTTGTATCTTGTAACTTTACTGAATTTATCAGTTCTAAAGTCTTTTGCTGGAATCTTTTTTTTTTTTTCTAAATATAAAATCATATTATCTGCAAAGAGAG